ATATATACACTTTCTCAAAATATTTTTATGAGGTCTTTTTTCAATTGATAAATTAGCCATTTGTATCTCCTGAAAGTAAAACTGAATGTCCAGAATGGATAAATAATTTTTAGAAAATCTTTTTTTTTCTTAATTCTCATCTCTCTGAAATAAATTGTGTCATTAAAACAGGAAGATGAGAGTCAGAATTTCCTTTTGTTTCTTTTCCCAAGCTTGTTGCTGATTCATTTCTTATGTTATGCAAATCTCTCATTTCTCTTCTGTAAAACACTTGCACCTGCCTTTCTCCTGGAGAGAGTCTGAGGTGCCTGAATCACCTCAGATGCTGTTTCCTGTTTGAAGCTGGAGTAATTAAGAAATCAAGACCTTAACCAGATGACCTGTAGTGGACATTTGGTTATCTTTTTTAGATGTGTTCAGCATATTGAAGTCAGTGCAACAGATCAGTTTGCACACACTCACTTCGTTGTCACTAGCATTAGAGCTTAGGCTTTTCCTTCAGTGGTGCTCTACGAGGACAAAAGTATATGTGAAGTAAAATTTGGTGGGAAAACTGGCAATAGAATCTTCAGAATGATCTACTGTGTCATTCTGCTACACCCTGACCAGTGCTGTGCAGTGCACAGGACACAAAGCTTGGCCCTGGTGGCTGGAGGACAAAGTCATGGAAAATAGAGGACCTGAGAAAAATCCAGAGAAGGTAGCATAGGAATTTATTGTTTTGTTGTTTGGGAAACTCTCATTTCCTAAGGATATTGCACATAAAGTGGAATTTGGAAATGGAGACAGTAAGGGCAAGGCAATCCAAAAATAATAGCAGGCAGAAGTGGGAGTGGATAAAAGGAATAAATGAATCCTAAAGCTGGTATAGCAGACAGAATGAAGGTGTCAAGAATGGCCTGGCAGATATATTTTCCCTTTCCTGCTTCCAGCAGAAGTACAACAGAGATGACTTGTTTGGCTTTTCAAAGTGGGTATTCTATTGTAAGCCTCTTAAATGTGTCCTGCAGTCAGAACTGATCTTTAAGTAAGTGAAGGCAGCAGAGGTTGCTGCAAATTCTTCATTCTGTCACACATCTCATTTTTGAAATACGTGTGTGCCCTGAGGTATATGGTCTCAAATGGGAAGAAAAATTAAGTACAAATTGTTGCTTTGGTTCAAACATCAGTAGTAGGAAATGGATTGTATCATCTTTTCACAGGACATAGATTGTATCTGTAGCTTGTGCAGTCTGAGGAAGTCTTACAGCTATATAGGAGTTTCTGAGTTCAAATTGTGACTCCCCTAGGCCTTAAATCTGTACCTGTGGGTCATTGCTGGCCCAGGGTGTGATGTATTTCATCATGTTGCACAGTGATAGAAGTAAATAAACCACAAAGGATCAAAGGTCTTTCCAGGAATACTTGTAAAAATGTTATCCTCACTAATATCTTTCCTTAAGTAAAAGGTTAAATATTTGTAATGATTGTAACGATATATAGATATTTAAACAGAATGTTTTACATATATGTACAGTTGCATACACACACATATATGTACAAATGCATATATGTGTATACCTGTAAAAGTTGGTCATACTTTCCTCTTGTACTGCTGGTTTTTGGAGCTGCACTAGTGATCAGAAATATGAGGTAAAATGGAGTTCATGGTATTTCAGAAGTCTGGCTGTCAGCTAATTGTGACAAGGATGCTGTGTGCAATACAAAATGAGTGGAATTTTTACCCACTTAAGCATATGGTCAAATAATATCACATATTCTATGTGTGAATATTAAGGCTATGGAGGATACAATACTTAAAATTCCCTTCTAAGCTGTGCTGTTTTTTAGAAATGCAATCACAGTAAAAATCCCATCCCAAAAAAAATGGTCTTGCTTAAAATCTTGTTCTTGTTCCCTAATGTAATAGGACTAATTAAGGAGACTAAGAACACAGGAAAAAAGACCAAGTGACAGGTGATAGGCTCAGGCCTTTCTCTCCTTTAATTCAACTCTGGACTGGATAAATAGTAACTGAAAGTGTTAACCATTGGGTTTTGAGGTATACTTTATTTTTAAAAGAAAGAGGAGGAAAAAAAAGATTTGTGTTTTGGCCTCATGCTCATCCTTTTGACGTGGTGTTCCCATCATTAAACACCCAACACATCTGGGAATCTTTATTTTCACTTGTCTGTTTAAGATGGGCATGGATTTATTATGGATTTGTGAATGTTGTCGCGGTGTATGTAGAAAAGAAAGGTTTGCAGGTGTATCATGAGGTTCTGAATGGCTAGGAAAGACACAGAATTGTGTATCTTTAGTCAAGATTTGTCTATTGAGGAATATTATTCCCTAGAGAAAGCTGTGTCGGGCAAAACAGCAAGCTGAAGGGGACAGGAGGGGCAGAGGCTAACCCTTTTCACCTCTGTGCACCATGGGAGTGCCTTCAGAACTGGCTGTAAACAGAAACTCTCAACATTTCTTCCGGATAGAATGTGAACGGAGAACATGTTTGAAACAGTCACTGTGTGAGAAAGGGCAGATGTGGAGAGGGAGACAGAGGCAACCTTTCACTTTGTGAAGTGGCCAAATACCAAGTGATGCTGGGGAAGGCAAGGAGCAGCTGCTGTTGTGGAGGCTCTGCCAGCCAGGGACAAACCAGCTATTGCATCTCTCACTGCTCAAAGACAGGTCCTTGCTACCTCTCCATCAAATGATTACAGCTGACATTACTTCAGTCCAGTGACCTTGTGAATAACTGTTCACACTCCAGTCATCTGCTGTGTGCAGACAGGTGTCCATGGCTCATTTTTATCAGCCTTGTAACCCCTGAGCACCCACTCCTGGCTCAACAGCTGTCTGCCTTTTTGTACTGCATCAGAAATATCTACACCGTGTTTATGGGTCACTGTAGGCAAACCTAAGCCAGGCTGCTCTTGCAGAGCACTCTAATCTCTCAGACACTGAAATAATCAGGTTGGATATTGCAGTATTATAGCTAAGGACTTCTGAAATGTGTATTACAACCTGCACTGATTCCCAAAGAAACTCTCTGATGCAGTTAATGGATGCAATTGCAAATTTGAACCTCTGGAGTTTGGTTCTTCTGGTTAATATTTGCTTTATTGAGGCAATGATAAATGAAGACTCTATATGGAAGAAAATGGAGTCACTTAGGACATGCTCTGGTGCTTGGACAGTTGTTTTAAACTCCCCAGGAGTGGGGAAGGTGCCCTGGGGAGGAGCCTGTGACCTCAAGCTCTCTGTGCTCTCTGACTAGCTACTCCTAAGTGACTCCAGGAGCCACAGTAACTAGTATTTCAGTCTAGAGAGCAGAGGTTTGCAGTCTGTATTCCCTCAGCAACTGCTTTGTATGTTGTTTTCTGACCTGTTGTAGTATTCATGTGCCTTTTAAGACTTGATTTCAAGTATACAGGCCCTGAAAGATAATGATGATTCTGTGAGTCCTGCCTGAAGTGTATCTTTTGCAATAGGAAAATACCTGTGTTCCACATGCAAAGCAATTAGTGCCACAGTACAAAGGGAAGGCCATCACCAGCATCTGCATTCAGCTGACAAATATGCCTCTCAATGCTGCTCAATTAATGTCTTTCAGATTGGAAAAAATAGCAGTGTAGCTTTGTCACAGTCCAGTCCTTCGAGTACATCAAACCCAGTACACAACAGACAAGTAAGTTGCTTTAAAAAAAGTGTACTTAAGTAGTCTGTAAGTGGTTTTGAAATATCTCATACTGTAAAACCTTAAAATATGATTTCTATATGAATGCACTTCTTTATAGAAGCTGTCTTTTGGTGAACTAATATTAGATTTCTCCTCTCATGTAATTCTTTTTTCCAGCTATTTTCCCCTCCGAGATTTATGAATTACAAATTTCCTGCATGTTTTTCACCACCTGTACTATGCCTCAGGTTGGCTCATGTGCTGCTCACTGGTTGTTGCTTTGGTGATAGCAGCAGCAGCAGATGTCTGCACAGGATTCAGCTGAGCCGATGTGTTTTTTCTCTCCAGCCTCCCCTGCTGTGCAAGATGGCACAGCAGAGTCCCCAGACTGGCACAGGAGGGACAGTGCTTAAAAATAGGCCAGAAGTGAAGCAGCAAAGGGAGGACAGAAACAGGACAGAGCAGACAGGGCACATGACTATTCAGAGAAAGTAATCTGAAAGTGTAACTAACCTATACATAATCTGAGTTATGTATTCTTAGACTGTGAAAAATCCTGAGTGCTCCCACCACACCTGTTCATCACACACGTAATGATGTGACTCAGCTTTTTGTGAGGACAGGTGCCTGACCCACAATCCAGCCCTCATCTGTCTGGATGTTTATTTGTTTTCATATGGCCCCTGCTATCTGACTCTCCAAGCTGAGTACTTAATCAAGAATTCATGATCATATCAAGTTCCTTAGTATGAAAAGGTTTCCCACCTCAGCAAGGTGTAGTCACAAGTAAACACAACTTCCAGAGGATGTTTCTGGACAACCAGTCAGTATTTTGGATATGTATTCTGGCTAAATGATACAGGAGTAGTTATTCCAAATGGTTGTGCTGCTTAGTCTCTGCCATGTAGACACAGCAAAAGAATAGCCATGATTGTAGTAATGATTACCCACAACTGTGTCCCCATTCAGAGTGAATACTCACATCTTGAGGATGAGCTACCAAAGAGTAAAATTTACTGGGTTTGTCTGGGTGCTGAATGCAAAATAGTTTATGTATGGAGGAACTACTCTGAAGGGAAAAAAGTGGGAAGTTTCTTCATCCTTGTAGCACTTTGCCCTGTACAACACTGTCATCCAACTGCCAGTGACAAACTTGGGGTAAACCTCTTTCTGCTTTAACCTCCTGCTCCTGTGTTAGTGTGAAATACACAATACCCAAGCAGCAGATCTTGTTGGGATCTGTTGCCTAGATCCCATGGGGAAAACCTAAGAGTACAAAACATCGATTTTCTGGCAGCCTTACGTAAACTGAGGCTGTTGCTGAACTTTTCAGCTGCCTGTTTTCATTACTTTATCCAAAATAGAAGGGTTTGGTTTCATCCCCACAAACTCTTTGTATTTAAAAATATGTTCCTGCCAGTTTGGTAGTTGAATGTGGAGCTCGGGGTACAAATAGAAAAGAAAAGTCCATATTAAGTTTTATTAAACTTCTTTGTTTAAAACTAACACAGGACTTTAGTATTTGGAACGATGAATAATGCTTTCCTGTCTCATAAATGCTTGTCACTGTCAGAATAAGTCTGAGCTGCTTTGTTGACAGCTTTCATCTCCAGTCTAGCAACTGAATAGTCTCTAAATAAATTACAGTCTTAAATTGTGCTATAATATTTTGTTATAAAGGTGCTAATAATTAGGTAATAATAAGTGGATCTGCAAGTATATGCTGTGTCAGTGAAGATACCACTGGGGAGCCTGAGCTCTCTTGTTGTTAATGTTAGTGTTGTTATAACCACAATGGTCAGGGAGTCCAAGTGAAGAGATGTCTCCAAGCAGAGGCAATCTCTGCTGTACACCAGGGTTTAGAGTTGGAAAAACCAGGCAAGTTTTCATGAATATGTCACAGCAGCAGACTCTTCACAACACAGTTTGAAGCAGAGTTGCAGCTGTCAAGCTAAACATCATACAGAGCAGTTCCTGGACTGAATCCGCTGTGTTCCCTGGTCAGGAACCTGTCGGGGTTGGCTGCTGGTGCAGAGAGGGAGCTACAAGGGGGGAAGAGACTCTTCTTTCCCAAGAAAGGGAGAGGAGTCCATAACTCATCAGGGGATTGAGTGGCTGGGTGGGAATGTGCCATTTAGGCTGTACACCCAGTCTGGTTTGCACCTGTGACCTCCCACGTGCAGTCCCACTGGGAATGCTGCCCCGGCACAACCCAGAGGACACGTGGCAGGAGGAGGTGACCTGTGGTTGTGTTGAGACCACACCAGGAGTTTGTTTTGGTCATTTGAATGACTCCCAGGTACTCCCACGGGGCTGGTGGATGTGAGCATAGCTGTTGTGGGACTGTCTGTTCTCTCCCACAGCATTAAACTCAGGTTAAACTCAGACAGATTGTTCTCAATTAATGTTCAGTTTGAATGTTGCTGCATCTCCTTGAGACCCGAACATGGGCTTCTATTCATAAAAGCCTGCCTGTTTTTCCAACTATTGCTGC